ACCCCAAACCAACCCACCCCGAGCACACACGCACCACCGTGACCCAATCTACCCCAAACCAACCCACCCCGAGCACTCACGCACCACCGCGCCCCGATCTACCCCAAACCAACCCACCCCGAGCACACACGCACCACCGTGACCCCATCTACCCCAAACCAACCCACCTCGAGCACCCATGCACCCATCGTCACTATGACTCGATCTGTCGCAAACACACACCCTGATCTGGATCAAACCGACACCCCGATCTCCATCAAACCCACCTCATATCTGTGTAAAAGGGGAAGCAGTTGCATTTTGTCTTTGTTTGGCATGAATGGATTGTGAATGCGCATTTCTGTTTTATTTCTCGTGGGGCACACGCATGGATGGGTTTTTGTTTTATTTGGAATTGTTTTAATTGGGTTTTAACAAAATACAATAAATTATTATATTAATAAATCATTTATAAACAAATATATTAATCAAATATTCAACACAAATATCAATGTCAAAATACTCTACCAAACACATATTTTAAAAATCTTATTCTCGTAATTATAACCCTATCCAAGTATCCAATATTATCTCCAAAATCTTATCCAAAATATTAAATCAAACGCATCCTACGATTTTCCGTACGGTCATTTAATTTCTTAATAATTTTTTAAAAGAATTAGCTTAGCTTTATATAAGAAACCGTCTCGTATTTAGGATTTAATTTTTCGGAGATCTAGGGTTGGGTTTCGAGATTTCAGAGCAATTCAGCAAGTAAGTTGAAAATTGAATTGAAGATGAGTGAGGTGTTCGAAGGATACGAGCGCCAGTACTGCGAGCTTTCCGCAAATCTCTCCAGAAAATGCAACTCAACTTCTCACCTTTCCGATACAGGTATTATCACAGTCAAACACACTTCATATCAAACTCAATTATGCAACTTTATTTGATACTTCAATTTTACAGATCAGAAGAAGGAAAAGGTTTCCGAAATAAAATCTGGCCTAGATGATGCTGACGTTTTGGTACTGCATCAAAAACATATTTTCTTTCATTAATTATTGTATAATTTTAAATTTATGTTTTTAGTTATAATGTCGTGTTTGGTTTGGGTTATTCCCAGATTCGGAAAATGGACCTGGAGGCGAGGAGTTTGCAGCCGAGTGTAAAGGCTATGCTTCTTGCTAAATTAAGAGAATATAAGTCTGATTTGAATAAGCTCAAGAGAGAATTTAAAAGAATTTCATCACCTAATGCTCATGAAGAGCTGTTGGAGTCTGCCACAGCTGATGCACCGACGGTAATGATCCATATTTTGTTTCACTTGGTGGATTATTTTTTGGTTATAGAGTTTACTATTATATTACTTGTTTAACTTCTCGGCAAACGTCAATTCAACACTTTGTTTGATGTAGAACATTATTTATCATGAATTTTCGTGTCTAGTACTAAATAGTTTTGTTGTAAAACTATTGTTTTCATGTTTATATCGTAAATATACATGTTTTTGCTAGGATGTACATGTTAGTACTTAGTACTTTTTTTATGGCACTTTCCTGTTTATTCACTGTTTAGCTAAGATAGACAATTTCTTTCTTTTTTTTTGTTTTTTTCCAATTGAACACTTGGATTAATATGGAGAAGCACCTGGAAAATACCTTGGTTTTGTAGAAAACTCTCCTACCAAACGTTCCTAAATGCTTTGTTAATATTGTTGGATACCATTGTTGATGGATGATAATAGGAATACATTTTTTTCCATTAATTGCTACTTGGCAGGAAAGGTTCTTTCTCAAAACAAATGCAAATGTAAATTGTGAGATATCACAAACAAATGAAAATATATTGTGAGAAGTATTTGTCCGACACTATACTTGCCTTGGTGATTTCTCTGTTTGTTTGATCTCTGGCTCCTTGAACAACTCCCATTCCAAATAAAGTGGAGATGTTCTTGTTTATTTGGCGAAAACATTTTGTCACTGATAACTGGTGGTACAGGGTTCCGGGGAGCATAGAGAAAGAATGGCCATGTCAGTTGAGAGAGTGAATCAGTCAGGTGAGAGAATTAAGGAGAGTAGAAGAATGCTACTAGAGACAGAGGAGCTTGGCATCTCAATTGTGGAAGATTTGAATCAACAGCGTGAAACTCTACTACATTCCCGTAATAAGGTCTCTATCTTGATTTTTTTCTTGTTGATATATGTTCAATTTCGCAAGGTTTTGAGTTACTTCTAGTTTTCCTAACAACAATTGTGACACAATGAATGAGCCTTTCTTGGGTATAACCAGTTTCCTCCAAAGTAAATCTCAAACTTTAAAGCAATACAAGTAAGAAAGATCCAAAGCTAAGTCTACTAGGTTAATCAAATTCCTAAGCGAGGTAAGATTCTAGTTTGTCATATTACTTGTTAAGGTAAAAAGGGAGGACAGCCAAAAGAAGTGTTGTCAAAATTCTCCTGAATTTTTGGGGAAATTTTGACAACACTTCTTTTGGTTGGCCTCCCCCTTTCTTCTAACAAGTAATAGAACCAAGTAGAATCTTACTTGGGCTTAGAAATTTGATTATATTAGTAGATTTAACTATGGATCTTTCGTACTAGTATTGCTTTGAAGTTTGAGATTTACTTTGGAGGAAACTGTATCTACACTTGCTTTGGTATCATGTTAAAGTCTTAAAGACAATATATTTCCGAATAATTTGCCTAGGACTTTTGGTGGATATGATTGATCAAGATATTGTTTGAAGTCGGGGCTATTAAGGGTGAAGTGAGGAGTGAAGAGAGATTAATGTGATACTTCCAAACATAACACAATTACAACCTTATTTATAGACTAACATAGGATTTATCTAAGTACTTGCACGCATAATAATTAATCAGACCGTTAACCACAATTTATAAATCCTCAAAATTTAGAAATTTATCCCCAAAAACTAAATAAATTTTTCAAGACATAATTTAATGTGACTTGGAGAATCAAATTTAAAAATCTAGGTTTATCTAAAATTAATTCTTGAACATATGGGTGATGAACCAAAAGAAAAATAAAAAAATGTAAACTATCTTTTTAAGTAGCCAATGACTCTTCCATGCATTCTATAACTAACTGTTAGAATGGTCGGCTGTTAAGTGACTGGTTGTAGGATCAAATCCTGTGGAGATCTGATTCATTTCGAACTAAAGTTTGCAGCAAAAGTTGTGGGATTGTTGATTGATAATTTTACTAATTAATTTAGCTTTTTTCTCCTTTTTCTGCAGCTTCACGGGGTAGATGATGCCATCAGTAAGAGTAAAAAAGTCTTAACTTCCATGTCACGGAGGATCACAAGGAACAAATGGATTGTTGGCTCGATCATTGCAGCTCTTATCCTTGCAATCATCTTTATCCTCATTATTAAGCTTTCTCATCATTAGTTTTACCAGTAGAGTTGTTCTATGTGCTTTATGTGCATATTGTATATAAAATTATTAATCAAATATTGGGTTATGTATCCCATTTTCCATCATTTTGTTTTGTACTTAATAAGATGCAGTCTGCATCTACACGTTCTGTGCATTGCTTTTGTCAATTGAACAAGTATACCTTCTTTGCCGCGGATTGTTCTGTGAATTCATTTTAACTTTATTTTTTATTCTTCATTCTATTCGTATTTCTCTTCAGTTTGGTGTTCATTTATTTCCAGTCAAAATAACGCTGTACTGGAAACATACTCAAAACATATTCATTTTAACAAATTCTGTTATTCTTTTTCTGACATTTCTCTAGTTTTCCAACATTTTCTCATTACTTTCTCGTCAACCAAACATCAAAATGAGTTTACAAATTGAAAACTAAGTCGAGATCAATGACATATCTTACACTCATTCTGCTACAATATGATTCAAGATCATGATTTAAGCTTGTACATCAGAATTTATATCTTAATTCCATATAAGAAACCATGAATCATCAGGAAAATTCCAATAAATTTGGAAGATTTAAAATTTTTTATAGATAAATTCTTTCAATATGAACGGCGGGATGGATGGGTCATGGGTAGTCAAGATATGAGGAAGAACACGTCGGCAGGGGCGGATCCAGCCTACTCAATTTTATTTTAAAAAATACTAATATATATAATTTCTGGATTTTGGCCCACCCTAACAAAAATTGATGGATCCGCTACTGCACGTCGGGCATCTACACGTGGACAAGCCGCCCGATCGTATTATTCTCCCTCAACATTTAGGGTGTGTTTGTTTTGTTATTTTTGATAGGATTTTGAGAATAATATTGGGTAGTTGAATAGAGTGAGTATTACGAGGTAAAATTTAAAAATTAACAAAAAAACTCCCTAGGTTTACTACTTTAACTAAACACCCCAATATATAATAATTTTGTAAAATAACAAAAATTCCCCCACCCACCCACAATGCTAGATTTCGGCCACTACCAACGGAATCTGGCCAGAAAATGGCGTTATGACGTAGACCGGTCGAATTTGGCCGATCGTGCGTTAATATGGTCTTTTTCAGCAAGATCCATCACAGATCTAGCCTAAAAATGCCAGATTCATGGCCAGATCTGACCGTCAACGGTCGCAAAAGGCCAGATTTGATATGGTCGTCGCTGACGGTCAGATCCACTGTGAATCTTACAGGAAAAGGCCAAATCAATGAATTACCAACTATTTTCGGTCGTTTCTACGCTGTTGTGATAGACCAGAATCTGATAACTATGGGTGGATGAATGTGTTTTTGTTAATTTTTAAACTTTTTTTTTAGGGGTGTTTAATTAAATTAATAAATTTAAAGAGTTTATAATAATTAAAATAATAAAGTAATATTTTTTAAATAATTAAACAAACAGGTATTTTGGGAATAAGATAGGGAGTAGGGTTTGAAATAACGAAACAAACGGACGCTAAAAGTTTTATGGGTTTTTTTTTGCGGTTCCGAGTTTGACCCGTCTGTTTCTCACACGCCAAACTAACGCTTGCAGTTGCAGACCCCACCACACAAAATATCCGGCTAATTCCACAAACGAAACCAAGTTTCCTTCTTCCTCCTTCATTGGCGGTTACTCAGCCTTTCACGCCGAGAATTTCTCTTATTTTTCCCACACACACCACGTGTGTGTTTAAACAAAAAGTCCCCTAGTGATCATAGTTTGGTAGCTGAACCAAATCGCCGAACCATGGATTCACTCTCATCAGTCTCCACTTCCATAGTTCTCCCTCCCAGTAATCCCCTCCGTCTTCGCAGTCGACAGGTTCGCTTCTCTTCTCGCACAATTCACAGTCGTTTTTCTGCTCTTTCCTCTTCCTTGGTCGGACGCCGTACTAGCAGATTTCCGCGAGTCTTATGTAAAACCAGCACCGGAAATAAAGATGATGATGACGGCAACCAAGAAATTGAGAGAGCCCTGCACTTGGACGGAACCATTCCTGGGAGTTCGAACGAGTTTGTAAAGCGAGTCTCTTCACGGGCTTATGATATGCGCAGACATTTACATCAGACTTTCGACACCAGCAGCTATGACGGTACTCTTTAATTTTCTTTGGTTGCAATTTGGATTCTTGATCATTATTACTTGTTGTTAACTGCTAAAGATTACAGTATTGGCTTTTCTTAACCTCACCTTCATGGTATTGTATGCTCTTGCGAATTACCTAGAAATATTACAGTGTTCTTTTTTATTTAATTGTGCTTCCAGTGAGGATCATGACATGCTATTCGTAATGTTACGTGTCCTTTTAACGTTAAATAATTTTGTGCTGTGTTCTAGTTTATATTTTGTTACCTATTAGATGTTTTGCAAATTATAAATTTACATTGCAAGAATTTAACCACATTTTACACCCGGAATATAGTAATTCTTTTGCATATACTTAGAGAAATGTTATTTGTCGTGATGCCAGTTTCTTAAATGTTATTTAAGACAATTGGTTTTCATAATGTGCCAACCTAAAATCATATTAGTGATATAGAATGTATGATTATTGAATATTATCAGTCATTCAATGTACCATTATTATATGACCTTTATACTTCAATAGCTTGTTTGATGTCAGATATTCACTTTGCTTAGATGTTTGTTTGAAGTTACTCCTACGACACTTGGGCTAAGAGATTTGCTACGTTTGGTAATAATTTTGAGGAACAATATGTTTTGCCCTGATTTTGTTATGGTTGTAATTCTTTGGGATGGGCTCAGCAGAAACATTTTCCTTGTTCACCTCATGAGTGGCAACTTGTTATAGTTGCTAGTGCTTAATGGTTGAGTGTCTGTACTATATAATATGTGTAGTTTAAAAGTACAAATATGTAATGAGCCCATCATAGATGTTTGTGATCTTGCATATTCTCTTAAGCTCTCAATCTTTATGGCTGTTTGAAAAAATTATTCTTTTTTGTTCTGTTTCTACCTCTCTTTTTAGTGCTTTCAACGTGTTTCAACCTATGTTTCTTGGTGGAATGGGAGTATTTCACCATCTTTTAATGTTGGTGAGGCTTATGATTCATGGTCATAGGTTTCTCATTGAGATACGTAATGTCATGTGTTGTGCTTTTTCAAGGGATTTGGTTAATTGATATGTTATCTCATATTTGTTTCCTTGACAAGACTCATAATTATTTTTTTACTTATTTTAATCATCCAGTTCTAGAGGCAAACCCATGGAGAGAAGATTCAAAGCCTGTATATGTACTAACCCACAATGAAAACCAGTTATGCACGATGAAAACTCGAAGGAATCGGAGGTTAGATTTGGTTCTGTATGGTATTACCTTGTAAATAATTGTTGATTCTCTGGCTTAGGTTTTACTTTTGTAAACAGTGAAGTTGAAAGGGAGCTTGGGTTATTGTTTTCCAAAGGAGGAAAGTGGAGGTCCCAAATTGGAAATCAATCTAAACAGTCTAGAGGTGGAACAAAATTCCAGATGCTTGTGGAGGATGTTAGGGAGGGAGTGCTTGTAAGTTTTGGCTTATACCAGCTGTTTATTTTTAATATGAATCAATTTATAGGTACCATCTATATTCAAAATGGTAAACGAGGTTATATTATGGTCTCTACCATACTCTTTTTTGTAATAAATTTTCAAATTACCACCGATGAGTTGTGTAATTGTATCCTGAGTGGAATTTAAAAGTTAGCATTTTAACCAATAACCATCCACTTCTCCACTCCCAGACCCCCACCCTCAACAATTAATCTCATCTTGTAGTGCATTCCACCTTCTGTTATAATGGTTCTCTGGCAGGTTTTAAGTTTTTAGTGTTCTGTTTTTCCAGGGTCATTGTGCTTCATCTTTAGGTTTTTAGTTTAAGGCTCAACTCTTGGTGCAGGTATTTGAAGATGAGAATGAAGCTGCACGATATTGTGACTTGCTGCAGGGAGGAGGTAAAGGTTGTGAAGGTGTTGCAGAGATTGAAGCCTCATCAGTAAGATTCGGAGCCAAACATTGAAATAGCCTGTTTAAAAGATGGTTTGTAATAGTTCCAATACATTTGCTGCAGGTATTTGATCTCTGCCAAAAAATGAGGGCCTTGGCTGTTTTGTTCCGCAAGGGAAGAACTCCTCCTCTACCTCAGAGCTTGGAGCTCAATCTCAGGGCCCGAAAACGGTCCCTTGAAGACCAAGAGGACTTGGTGTGAGAGAAATGGTGGCATGAAAGTATGAAAAATAGAACTAAATATCTGTAAAATGTAAATTCATTTGTCGGTGGTGAAGTAAATATGATGATTATACGAAAAGGTCCTTGAGTTGCATATGATAATAATGCGCAATTGTAATGGTAATTTTGCTTTTGTAGTTCACCCAAAAGCCCTGTATTTGATGTGATCTTATAAAAATTATTGAACTCCAGAATTTTAGATTAAATTGAATCAATTGATGTGATTAAAAGTAAACCAGATATTTAAAAAGCTATTGATGTCCAATCATCCATGAGCTAAAGCCCTCTAATACGACAAAGCCTACACATGTTCCACACTTGAATCAAAAATCAATACGCACTAGATTCTATCCATATTACACCATAATTTATTTTATTTAATTAAATTATTTTTATTAATTAAAAAATCGAATTCTGTTGACAAAGTAAAAAACCTGAATAACGGATGCGAACTTCAGCTTTACAGTTTACACTTTACACACCTCCCTTGGCCTTCCAACTCTCCTGCAACTTGCAAATCCTAAGCAAATAAACTTAAACTAATAATTCAATAACCATAGCATTTGTTATTTACATACAAACGCTTACGCTCACAAATTACTGGAATACGAGATCCGATCCGATCCAATCTTTGTTCATGAGCTCGAATTCATCCAGCCCCGGCAATTCCCCCTCGCCGGGATCATCGGAGAAGGGGAACTCTGCCTCGGCATCTACCAACAAGCAGAAGGAGAAGGCTAGAGTGAGCAGGACGTCACTTATACTCTGGCACGCTCATCAAAACGACAGCGCTGCTGTCCGCAAGCTTCTCGAAGAAGATCGATCTTTGGTTCAGGCAAGGGACTACGATAATCGGACTCCGCTTCATGTAGCCTCACTCCATGGCTGGATCGATGTCGCCAAAACCTTGATCGAGTTTGGTGCTGACGTCAACGCCCAGGATCGCTGGAAAAATACTGTACTCTTCTTACGTTGACTTTTACTAATTATCATGGTTTGACCAACAATATATCATGAAAGTCTTTTTTTTTTTTTTTTAATTTTTTAAGCAATATTTTGAATTTAATTATCATTGACGAAACTATTAGAAGCGCTTAATTATTTCTGTGAGGTTTTACAAGTAATGCTTTCTTTTTAAATGCAGTAAAATGATACTGTTTTATATGCACACTATTTTTTGACTGCTGGTTGACATTTTTTTAGCTATTTTAGCATGTCAATGTGGGTTTATGTCTTGACAGCCTCTAGCTGATGCAGAAGGAGCTAAGAAATACAACATGGTTGAGCTTTTAAAGTCTTATGGTGGCTTATCTTTTGTAAGTCCTTGCTTGATGTTTTTGCCTTAATTTTCGATCTATCTCTTTTATTTGTCTTCTGTTTTACTCTTACTGCTAATGGTTTTATTTTCCCTTTGAGTCAATTATTGATTTGGCTACTTTTTTTTCATCATCATTGTTTTTTTGTTTTTTTTTCTCAGAAGAGCTGATTGTTTTTTATTGTATTTTCGGATTACTTGTTATTTGATTTAATTGTAAATAGTGAGGACCCTTTTATGCCTTTTGGTTTATGCATTTGTGGGTTCTGAATATGTGTTTGCATGCTGCAGGGTCAAACTGGAAGTCACTTTGAACCAAAGCCTGTCCCTCCCCCACTTCCAAATAAGTGTGATTGGGAAATTGAGCCTTCAGAGCTGGACTTCTCAAACTCAGCAATTATTGGCAAGGTGTGCTGTGGCTTTACTTTTCTTGAGATTGGTGATGTGCATGTTCTAGTAGACTGTTGCAAAAATGTTTTAAGAAGCTGCATTGATTATTTGGAAATTGCATCAAATTTTGATTACAAGTTTGAATTTTTTGTCGCCATTTACATTTTGCTGCTACCATGGCATGAAAAAGTGTGGTGAGATTACTGAGCAAGGATTCATGGGTACATTACTTTTGTCCTTGGGGATTGATGACCATATATTTATCTTTGGTTTCATCCTGTAACAATTGTGCTGCCAGCCAATACTATGTAGCTCAGGATAACTAAATATAGTCTTGACTCTTGTTAGAAAAAGTGTTGATGTTTGAAGTTAATCATTGAATGACACAACAATTACTTAAAAAAATTGTAGTTTCCAGTTTACTTTATTTTTTCTTAGTACTTCTATTATGGTGGTCTGGTACAGCTTTGACATGTTAGCTCCAGGAGGAAATTTTGGACTTTTAGGTTACTTTTGCGCTAGTTTTATCCTGGTCCTGGCCTACAAATTCTAGGTGGATTACCTAATTTTTTTTACTTTACCTGGTTGATGTGCTTTTACTGATAACAGTTGTTTCTGTCAGGGATCTTTTGGTGAGATTTTAAAAGCCTGTTGGCGAGGAACACCAGTTGCTATCAAACGTATACTTCCATCACTTTCAGATGATAGATTGGTGATGTAAGTGCATTATTTTTGTGAAATAGTCAGATGGTCCTATATCAACATTAATGCCTTATCAAAACAGTGAAACCACTTGGTTTGAATAAATTGTTTACTCCCTGGATAATTACTTCTGTTGATGTGTGGTATGTACTATACTTTGCTCTGATAGGACATTGAATCAGTACCAATGTTAAAGACGTTAAGACATTAATTGACCTAGAAATGCTATAATATTTATTTGGAAACAGTATTCTTAGCATTCTTTTGTAAGAGTTAATCTCTCTATTGAAACTAGTAAGGACGTCCACCTATCATATATCAAGGGTTTTTGGGTGTACGGTCCTTCTCAAGAAAATGATAATTCTGTTGTTTTTCTGCTATAATCTACTTCCTCCCCAATTTTTCCTATTATATAAAGAATCTAAATTCCTTACTGTTTTTCGCTTCCCAATTCAGTCAGGACTTCAGGCATGAGGTTAATTTGCTAGTGAAACTTCGCCATCCTAATATAGTCCAATTTTTGGGAGCTGTCACCGAGAAGAAGCCCCTTATGTTAATTACCGAGTTTTTACGAGGGGTATATGAATGCATATTTGTTCTTCTATTGAAGTTTTAAGTTCTCTTTGCACAAACGTTCATAATGATATGAAGGTAGTCAAAAGTAACTCATGCTTACTCGTGAATTCACGTGCTGTCACAGGGTGATCTCCATAAGTACCTCAAGGAAAAGGGTGCACTCAGTCCCTCAACAGCCGTTAACTTTGCAATGGACATTGCCAGGTGATTCTTGAACTCTTAAGTCTGATTGGTATGTGGTTGTTTCATTTCTTACAGAATATATATAAATCCATTGACAGGTGAAAGCATTAAAATTTAAACCCTTTATCATTAAATTGTTTTCTGAAATTATAGGTTGGCATGGTACGCAGCTCTTGCTTAGCTTAAAAGCATACTGATATTAGTGCCACAAGAATTAGGATCTGGTTCTTGTATAAGTTTTTGGCTTAATTGACTAATTGAGTAATGCAAACTCTGTCATGCTCAATTTGAGCTTATGGAAATTGACCAGGGTATTGGCATGACTTAAGTGTAAGCGTCTCCTCCCTTGCTATATAGGCCAATAATTGCCTCATTTAAGGGCCTTAGCAGATTATGATGGGTAATTTGTTTCAATTTTTAAAAAGTTAACATGAGATTATATTACAGTCACTCAGACTATGGATATGCATGACAGTTATACGGAAAAAGTATAATTATGGTTAGAGAATAAAATTAAGCATCATGTTGTGCCCTTGTTAGCTGGTGAAATTGTAGATAAGTCTGCTTTGTTTGGTTGGGGTCAATTTAATTAGTGTTGTTGATTTGGTATTATTGCTGGCCTTATTTTTTTATGTACCTGATTTTTGTCGGATAAAATAATTCTTTTCAGAAATTCTTGAGTAAAATTAAATGACCTTAGCTCTTGAAGGAAGGTCCTAAGTCACAATACTGAGTAGTGTCGTGTTCATCCAACAGATTCTGAGATCAAAACAAGTGCACATGAATTTGAGATAGTTTGTAGGTGCTGCATTTGGGTTTTATATTGATCAGAAAAGAAAAATAGAAAGAAAAGGAAAGTTTTCTTTTCAAGTGGGTTTTGTATGCCTGGAAATGCCTAAAAATACTTTAATACTTTGATGTTTAAGATTGATTAGCAGTTTTTTTTTTTTTTTCCTTTGCTTTGAATTGTACAAATATTAGCTAAAGGTGGGAAATATGCTTTCTTAGTTTTCTCTGGAAGATGCTTTTCAGAATATACGCAGCCTATATTGCTCTGATCATCTGGTTTGGAGCTTTTAGTGGCTTTCAGAAAAAAGAAACATAAAGTTAATGTGTTTTAGAAGTTCTTATGGATTCTTTGTTTGCATGTGAACATGGTCTTTCATTTTCCATAGTAAGGGAATTGACTTCCATTGTATTTCACTAGAAACTGGTCTTTGGAATGTCTACATGCTTTACTGCTTTTATTTGATTTGTCATACAGTGCAGATATTCATTTATATTGGGAAAAAAAGCATGAGTGAGTTTAAGTTTATGAATCATGGCCTAAAATCTTTATCAGTGCCACATCTGCCTTTCTGAATTTGAGTATTATTCTAATTTTTGTAAACTTGATGTGACCAGAGGAATGGCTTATCTTCACAATGAGCCGAATGTCATAATTCATCGAGACCTGAAGCCAAGGTGAGTTGATCTCTGTGTCAGATATTCTGGATAAATAATAGTCTTAAGTTCATATTGCTAGTAATTCTTTGCTTTAATCAATACACTAATGATCCATGTCATCTGGAGGATAATTAAACAAAACTGTCTTTAACAAACAATACAAATATCTTTTTTGGTCCCTTGGTATCTTCTCTTCAATCATTGATGATTTTTAATCTAGTATTTGCACCATCCTTTTGGGTCTTCTTGCATAAAATTGTCTCTTATGTGTCAGGAATGTTCTTTTGGTCAACTCAAGCGCAGACCACTTGAAAGTTGGAGACTTTGGACTAAGCAAGCTCATCAAGGTTCAAAATTCTCATGATGTGTACAAAATGACGGGGGAGACTGGAAGTTGTGAGTATCTCTTTGTCATTATTATTTATGTCTGAAATATGATGTTGTTTTACTTATTTCTTTTTTTATTATCTGAACAAAACAAAAGACCGGTATATGGCTCCTGAGGTCTTCAAGCATCGAAAATACGATAAGAAGGTTGATGTTTTCTCTTTTGGAATGATTCTCTATGAGGTAATTTTTTTTCCTTAATAGCATTGAGATACCAAGTACATAAATCTGGTTCTAAAGCATGGAGTTCTCAATTGGAGCAGATGCTTGAAGGAGAACCACCGCTTTCACATTTTGAGCCATATGAAGCAGCCAAATATGTGGCAGAGGGACGCAGGCCTATTTGTCGTGCTAAAGGATATATCCCTGAACTGAGAGAGTAAGTTAATTTTATAGGATTTTTCATCTACTAGAACAGTTTCTTATTTATACCACACATGGCCCATCTATGAATCAAATTTAAGCTGTTAGCTGTCTGGGCTGCTGCTCTGGTGGCTAACACTGAACCATATGTGAAGAGGCACGCTTCTATTAAATGGTTTATATTAATGATTATTGACAGTGAATATGTTTTTGAAAAGGTGATACCAGTGATACACCTATAGTCAGTAAGCTATGCTGTGGCCCTGGATAACTACATCTTAAAATAACTGGCTGAGACAACTTTGTTGAACTTTTTTAAATGAATGAAAGGCCATGAGTTACGTGTCCTATTGATAGAGACAAGAAAGGATAGAATAAGATAGAGAGAACAAAGAAGGGGAGAAATCCTAGAAGAAATAAAACTGGGAGAAACACAGATATTGGGGAGCATAATGTGCTTGGTGACCATAGATGAATAATGTTTCCTCAATAGACACTATAGTCTACTTCATAAATATTGGCATGACCCCAAGTGCAGAAGATTTATTTATCTGGATCTAGGCTATTTGAGCAGCGTCATTTTTCATCTAAATTTATTATTTTGAGCAAAGATAATAAATGCTTTTCCAATCTTGGTAAATAAAATTTGTTAGACCTAATACTTGCTCCTCAGCTCCTACCCCTTAAACCCCTTCAAGGCGATGTGAAATCCTCACTCTCATCTTGGGGATCTCAAATTTGAGTCCACCCGTCATGCCCTGGGATCTTTGACCGACAATGCCATCAGAAAATCAGAATACACTATGCATATTTGATCTTTGCTATTTCCTTTTCTCTTTTTAATTAGTACTTGCCATTCTTCCAGATCTTACTTATCCTGATCTTTTTTACTTAGGTAATTTTCAATGTGTTAACCTAGTATGTACATCAATCAAGTTTCTTTAACCGACATTGTCCTCATGTTGTTTAGCAAAAAATTGGAGTGTTAATTATGTTTGCCATATGCTAGTTAAATTTTAATAGAGTATCTGAGATGCAGGTACCAGAAATTTGTTTGTTTGATTGTTAATGTCTTTCTTTCTCAATGCTTCTAGCTTAACGGAGAGGTGCTGGGATGCCGACATGAATTTAAGACCTTCATTCTTGGAAATTCTGAAAAAGCTTGAAAAGATCAAGGAAACTTTACCAACAGATCATCATTGGAGCTTATTTAATCCATAGGATTCAAGAGCAAGTACATGGTAGATGCTATATATGCCATTTCTGCTTGTCACTTCGTACATCCAAATGCATAGATGGTGTTGTGAATAGATTCAATTGAGGAAGATTTGTGAGAGTTACTTCTTTGACTACTTTTCCGCAGTTCTATTCAAATTTCAATTTCAAATGGCTTAACTGATTGTTCATTAAGTTTTACAGTTTCTATATTTCATTAGTCTTTTATGTGGACAGTGAACCAGCGATGGAGTTTCATCCATCTCAGATTATAATTTTTAATCGGCTATATTTTTCCTTTAAATCTATCAATTGTAATTTATTCTGGTCCCAAGTGATCATGAGAATTGAGAGTAGGCAAATATACTGACATTTGCTCTCTTTTTTCCTTTTTTTTTTTTTCCTTTTTAAATTTTATATTTAAAGGCTGTTAAGCCTGTAGTTGGAGACGTCAAATTGGTTGATTTGGCAAAACATAAATTTCTTGTGGATTATTTTATTGTATCATAAATGTTGATCCTGCTCTTATTGAAATCTAGGGACGTAGATTTTGGTGGGCATTGTTAAAGGTAGGGGCGGCTAATATTTACCCTTCCCCTCTTCCTGCACTTTGGATCATAGTCCGTTGAACCTGAACTTGTGAACAAGGATGGATCGAAGGGTTGAGAAAGAGGGTAACTTACCTCAGTATTGTTATAGTATCTATAGCTGAATTTCGAAGGGTTAACTTACACTTCAAAATTCCACAATTGACATGACGGAGATCCAATTGAACTTTTAACTTTTGGCTATTTTGATTTGAAATAACATGCAGAGGCTCTCTTGAGTCATTCCTTGAATTAAAAACATAGGCCAAGTTGATTTGATTTAATTCTCATTTCAAGTGTCGAACATTCTTAATTTGCCTGGAGGGTGTAGGCTTGTAGCCCTTTCCCCGTAGCTGAACCAACCCCAACAAATGCAATTTGAAAAATGAGAACCTAATAAATATGTCAACATATTTAAATTGGTTGCCAAAATTGAAAAAATAAAATGTTATTTGCTTATTTAAAGAATACCTTAAAGGGCAAAACAACACGCTGCAAAATAGTTGATTCATACTATTGTCTGGTATAAAAACTTTGAATTGTATGATAACTAACAATAAAATTATATTAGAATGCAAGTATGCAACCCAAGCCATATATTCCAAAGCTTAAATGGAGGAAAAATGAATTTGCAATGGGTAAACAAGATGAAGTTTTTCCTCTGACCTTATTTTATGTCAGCCTGATCTGAAGCTCATCTGAATCTGGGTAGTCATGTACTGTAGAAAACTTTTATCTTCAAGTGAAAATATACATTAGCATTTAGAAATTGCCCTTGAGGCAAATCACCAGGCCAAACATGCAAGTAATTGAAATGTCCATCTAGATTGTGAAATTGCACGAATTCTTGAATACTGAGAAGCACAACCCCTAATGCCTAATTAATATTGTCAAAGAGGCACCAGATGTCATTTGAAAAAATAATAATAATAACAAAGTCATAAAACATAAATGTCAAGTTTACCAGGAAGCATTTTGGGAAAATGGGAAGTTTTTTTTAAAAAAAAAAAGATAAAAAAAGACTCTTGTTCTATGGGAAGACATAAAACATACCTTCAGGTCACTGAAACCCCCAATCAATCTAACAATATGATATCATAATTATTTGTTTCTCTGGAAAAGTACATTTTTCTAAGATAATTTACAAGAGCATTGAATATAAAGTTGTTCAACTTGTCCGATATGAACTTAAATAAGCTTCTTTTTCTCAAAGAAGGTCTTCAGGTGCCATAGTTGCAAGCCTGCAACTGTTATACAAATAAGAAGTGAAAGCCCACTCAACCACGCCATTCTTGAGTTCGTAGCTTCATTCAACTGCTGCATTTCTGATTCTCTGAAATAAGCAAGATGCACATGTAAAATTGAATGTGATATATAAATGAATAATATTCCTTGGAGAAATAGTAGTATACTTTTCAGTTCAAGAGAAAAAATAAAACATTATATTACCTTTCCCGAAGATAAAACATCTCTTGATGAATTGAATCAACAGTATCAAACAACTTCTTGAGTTCTAATTCCATGACCTGACATAAAGAGAATGAAGAGAATGTGTAAAGTTTTTCCTTTATCTCAATCCAGACACTTGCACAGACTACAGCATTTTCAATCATGAATTTGGGCACTGCACTCCAGTAACTCCTTTAAATTTCAAATGAAAATTCATGTATAATTAGAATAAAAAGGAATTATCATCCTAATAGAAAAAAATCATAGTTGTTTGCCTCGTTGAAACCACCCCCCAATGAGACTTGGCTTTATCCGACGTGGTGAAAAGTGGCTGGGGTTAAGATCTAAGGTTTAAGCATTATACCATTCCCTGGAGACTGACATAATTTCCAAGTTCAGTTATTAAAAAACCACATATATCAACATTAAAAATATGTAGATAAAAAAAGATCATTGCCAGCATAAAAAAATGAAACCAGCATATTATTGAAAGTGAAAGGACCAGTGAGGTACTATAGACTGATTCCCATACTAGAGAAAAATCAATCCTACAGAGTATGTTATAAAGAAAACAAAAGGGTAGAAGATATTGATAATTTGTACAGTATAAATATAAGAGTTATTGATGGTAGATCCAAGATATTCTTAAAAAACCTCTAGGCTTCACTCCCGTTGGATCAGGCTAGAACTTTCCTCGATTACTTATTTGGTTTCTTAGGCACCTATAAAGACATCACTTTTTACTTGAACAACATCTGAACATAGAAAGAACTTCACCTTAAAAGTGATAAGATTGCTATTCATAAGAGTGGATCATATTTTTCCTTTCGCCTATTAGCAAAATAATTCAGAAGCAGTTTGCAAGCTTGCTTGGATGTCCAGTGGACAATGTCTATACTAATGATACATTGCCAATTACTTTTTTGATCTAAAAACCAAGTCAAGAAGTGAAGTATCAGTGTCATGATGGTCAGCCCAAATACTTCTAGATGAGGTGAAGAGTCCATAAATATTAACTTCCAGCCGAAAATATCAAATATTCGAACACCTACAGTTGTCCACAACAGAACTTTGATTGCTTCCAAACAAAATCATTTACTTTTCCTCAATTTATAGTTGGACCATCTAAATTACTTCCAGTATATCATTTTATAGAGCTGTATAGTCGACTACTAGGGCCATGACTCAACCAATCAAATGAAACTATAAAAGGATAAACCAGGGAGTCCTAAAAATTGAATCTCAAGCTCATTCCTCCTACTAGGAATTCATTTATCAGAACCACAAACACCAATCCTCTTGTGGTAGAGATGAAAGTACATTTTGCTTTATATTTCCATGATCATCAAATATCTCATGAATTTGAAAAATTATTCATTCTTTTCACCTGTGCAACCAACCAAGAAAAAGACTATACACCCTTATTCTTCTGCGAAACACAATCGAGAATAATCATCATTCAAATTTTTAAATATTGACTGGCTGGTGATTTCTAACAACCAACCAACCGAAGATTCCAATTTTTCATGCATATCTCACTAAATAATTTAATTATGATAAATTTTAATCACCTCTGCTGATGTTAAATAACACAAAGATACCTCCATGGTTTGAATATTTGAGAAAGACCTCTTCCATATGGCGGATTTCTCACATGAAACTTCAGACATGTAAGTTTGACAAATCTAGGGTATGGTTATGACACTTTTCATAAATCAGATCAGATCATGTTTTTGTCTAGTTTTTTTAAACCAACCGGCCTACTTAAAATCAATTCCAATGTCATGGGATTTCAATAATTTCTTATCCTCTCAACAAAATTCTACCTACCCAGTTCACCGAAATTAAAATCCTAACCTTAGACTCAATTAAAGAGTTAAACACAAATCCCTCACATTAAACTCAACCAATCCGACATTATCAAAGACGAATAGAACTAGAATTTGCAGTCAGATCATAAGAAATAAAACAATTGACTTACATCAACTGTGCCTTTCTTAGCAACATTAGACCAGTCCTTTGCGTGCACACCCGTCCTCCAATCAAAATCAACGGTCAAGGTTATTTGTGGGTTATGATCAACGGCCCAAAAGCAAGCCATATAATCTCCATCCTCAGCCGCCGTAAACGCAAAGTTACCCGAATCAACATGGTCCCCGTAGTGATAACTATTCCCATAAGACGAAGTCACCTACATTAACAATAACAAAACACTAATTATCTCACTCTTCAAAAAATGAAAACACCAAATAAAAATAAAAATTTCCAAATTTACCCTGACGGTGAGCTTGTGTGAATCGGGCAAAGGATGGCCTTCGTTAGGGTTGACGATGTGGTACTTGCCAACGGTCATGGAGTTGCTTTTGATGTCTTCGGCGATGCATCTGGTATGACCCGATTGTATATCGAAGCGGAGCGATTGAGAAGTAGAGAATAAAATCCCAACGATTACGAGTAGGGTTAGGGTTACTCTGATCGTATTCATTGTTTGATTCCGTCGCAGTTTCGGAGGAATTAAAAATAAAAATAAAAAAGGTTGGAGGAGTGTCTGCAAGGAATGGCTTCCAATGTCGAGTGGCGCCACCAAAATTAAAGAGGTCAACGGTTTTTGCGACGTGGTTGGTTGCCATCGGATGAAACACGTAATCGACCAAAATATGGGCTCCTGTGAAAAGCCCAGGGTATTATTTTGTAGTGGCTCAATTAGTGGATAGTTGGGCTTGGGCTCTCAAACATTAATTTATGAGAAAGTTGGACAGGTGCATGTGTATTGAAGTAAATCTTTTAACCCTTGTATCGTGTAATCACAAAGTTGGACACGTGCCTGTGCATTTTTTTTTTTTAACCAGAGGTGTTCAGGTCAATTTACGCACACCTCAATTAATCTTTCCAAACCTTGAAACTATCAGTCAGATAAAAATTCTAATGATCACCCTTATTAACAGCTATAAGGACTCGAACTTCCTTCTATTTGTGATTTTTGTGACTATTAACTCTAAATGCCACCATTAAAAATGTTTATTGCGTTGAGTTTTATTTTTTAATCTACCATTAGCTACAAATACTTGTTAGATCTAACAACTTGATTGCATTTGATGAGAAAAACATTATAAATGAAATACTAACACACCTTAAATGTTATGCATTTTGTCCCAACTACAAAAAAACTTTTCCAAAAGTTAATGCCAAGATGATTAACTTTCGAGTTAAAGACATAACATATATTAATACAATCACCTTAACGTTCTTTACATGGCATACATCTTTCTACCGTTAACGAACTGTTAGTGAGTCATTACAATTTACACATTTATGAGTTAGAAAATATTATCAAATTATCATCTTATTGTGATGTCTATTTTAACACTTAAAACTTAATTGAAAGGGTATTTAAATTATTTCTAAGACCTCATAGGGGTTTTTTGTATTTTATCATATTTAAGGAGATTAATGTTATTAACTCATAGCTTTCAACTGTGTTCATTATGTTGAGATAAAAAATGGGATGAGTTTCTTAAATGTGTTGAGATTAACTTTCAAGTAGTGTTTCAATGAATAGATGATGGTTATCAATAATAAAATTTCAGGCTCTGTTTGATTAGTTTTTTAAAATAGCATTCTATGCTGAATACTATTTTGGAAAATATGATAGGATTCTGAGAAGTTTTTGATACATTTTTGGAAAATATTTTCTAAAAATATTTAAATTATTTTAAATCTCTAAGTTTGTTAATCTAACTAAACACCCCCCACAATATAAGTTTATAAATTGATAAAAACATCCCTACCCACTACCACTAGAAGGTGGCCGAAATCTACTGGAATGGCACATGAACAACTACATCTGGCCGGTCGTGTACCTATCTGGCATTTTTAGGTCAGATCCACTGTGAATCTGGCTGGAAACGGCCAAATCTAAGGTGACAAATATTCGTTGATGGCCACATCTGGTTGTCGTTGACAGCCATATCTTGGCCGTCAACGACGAACAAGATATGGTCGTAGTCAACAGCCAGATATGTGGTCATAGATCTGGTCGTTTCCAACCAGATCCGTGGTGAGTTTGGCCGGAAACATATAGATCAGCACACGACTAGCCAGTTGTGCATTATCACGACGTCGGCGATCGACGGTGGCAGCGGTGGTTGCTAGCGAGTGATAGTGGCTTGGGTAGGTCGGGTATTTTTGTTACTTTTAAAACTTTTATTGAGAAGGATAATTGTTAATGTTTTGACTTTTGAGTTTAATAGAATATGATTGGATTTTAAAAAGAATTTTGAATATTAAAACAAATATGCATTTTAATAGGATTGGATAGCTAGTGAAAAAATGGAGAAACAAATGGAGCCTCAAATATTTTAGGAGATATTATTTTTTTTAATTTTATTATTACATTGTTATTCTGATTTTCTATAAAAATTTGATGTGCCAAACCAAATAGTCTTTTAATTATTTATTTAACCCTTTGTTTCAGGGATGTTTATTAAAGTAAAATATTAATATGTAGCCTTGATAGATGAAAATAAGAAAGAGCATTAAATAATGGGCAAAGCACTTGAATTTAGTGCAAACTGAACACTCGCGACCACTTGGCTATTTTTCATTGAATCAATAAACATGATTCTATCTCTATGTGCATGCAATAATAATAAATTAATAACCCTAACATTATTAATTTCTCTAAACCCTTTAAATTAAAAATAATACTTTGCGTACTAATACTAACCAATGTACTAACCTTTGTTAAAATCATACATATTATCCATACCATGCGTATGGTACCTATACTATGCTTTAAATTAGTACACTGATTAGTAAAATCCGTTAGTACGCATAACATTACCCAATGTTAAATTCTCTACTAATTAAATAGTCAATGTTGTCCCACGTGCCTCCTGCCTCATCTCATAAAGTCTTTAGTAATAAACAAACAAAGCATTTAGACGAAGAATAAATGACTTTTTCGTAAGCAAGGTTTGGCCTAATGACACTTTTCTAATCAAAAAATTTTAAAATACAATTTTATTACACAAACGTTATGTTCCATTAATAATTTCTATTAAATACAATTATATTCATTATGAAGATGAAAATACTTTTCTCTTCTCTCTTCTTTTTTTAGAAGATAGTGAGGAGAGTGGTCGAAAAACCTACAATCAACCAATAAACACATAAACACTTCCAATAACCCAATCTCATGTAAAAAACAACTCCAAATCAATTTCCAGTCAAACCCAAATTCAATAAACAAGCAAAACCCTAAGAGAATGGTGGATGACAAACAACAAGCAACTGGGATCGAGGGTGTTAGAGGTTTTGTAGGGGGGATGCCGCTGGACAATTGATGGCATCAATGGTGATTTTCGGTGTTGGGATCGACCGAAAACATGCTAGAAAGGTGTAGCGATCGTGTGAAAACCTTAGAGACTAGTAGTCGATGGGCTATTGTGGTGGTGGAGGTTAAGGGTTTTAGGATGCCGATGAGTCTATTGATGGGTTCGGAGATGATTTTCGACACTGAGATCGATCGAAAAAGCTTGGATTGCGCAAACCAAAGCAATGGGTAGTGGCTACTGATTGGTGGTGTAAACGGGTGAAGGGTGATGGGGCAGGTGTGGGCTTCTGGGTTGGTTGGGGCAAAACAGTAAACAAGTGGTATGTTAGAATTTGAGGTGTGTCTGACTCTTCACCCAATAAGGCCTTGTTGAATGGGAAGATTACCTCCTTTTATAAACCAGTAGGCTTGAGCGTGCCTAGTCGGTGTGGGACTCCAACACTCCCCCTCACGGTCAAGCCCATATGTTGGGTCATGCCTGTTATTGGAGGTAGTTACTGGCTCTAACTCCTCACCCGCTGGTCAAGCGCTCAGCTCAACTAAACATGGGCTCTAATACCATGTTAGAATTTGAGGTGGGTCTGACTCCTCATCCAATAAGGTATTGTTGAATGGGAGGATTACCCTTTCTTATAAACCAGTAGGCTTTAGCATGCCTAGTCGGTGTGGGACTCTAACATGGTAGGCAGATTAAGTTGGGATGGTGAATGACGGTGAATGGTTGGGTTTTCCGGCCAAAATCAATCGCAACACTCCAAATAATCAACTAAACAAATCCCAAGCTTCAATTTCATCAAAAAACCAACTTTCAACAACCAATTTAAACAAAACACAAACAAACCCTTGATGGCTGCTGTGGTTGGAGAGGATTAGGGATGGGCACAAAGCCCGGCCCCGCGAGGACCCACCCCAACCTGGCCCAAACGGGGCTGATTTTTCCCGAATCGTTTGGGCTTTGGGCTGGGATCGGGCCTAAGATTAGTCTCGAAATTTGAGGGCGGGCCGGGGTCAGGATAGGTCTTGCCCCAGCCTGGCCCGGCCCAGCCCGTATATGTATATATATTAATTTTAATAATTAAAAATCAATCATATATACCTATATTAATTTTAATATTTGAAAATCAATCATATATACTTATAATAATTTTAATACTTGAAAATCAAATATACATTATACAATGACAAATTATAATTGTGTAAGTATTTTATGAAACTATATACAAATAGGTAATAAATAAAACTAGATTAAATATAATAAATCATTATAAATATTTGTAATATATATATTATACATAATATGTTAATGCTATGAAGCAAAAGTTATACATTCGACATTATATATGGTATACATTTGACGTTATACATTATATATTATACATTGTATATTATATATGGTATATACTATAAAAGTATAATGTATATAACATATATATGTTGTACATTATAATTTATACATAATATACTATTATCTATAATCTTACGTTAATACATAATATATATTATTTGTTGTTTTGATTGATTATAATGAATCGATAAAGCATTATAATATTTTTTTTGTCCCTCATTGAATCATTATTTCAATTCTATTATCTAATTGACTTTGTTATATTGTGATAGCTAATATATTATATATTAAAGAGACATTATATATGTTAATACTTATTACTTAATACAATAATACATAATATTATACTGTTAATATATAATATATTTATATATATGTATAATGTATTATAATTATCATTTTGATATTTGGATTCAGTATAATCATTAATCAGAGCAGATCCAACACTTGTTGAAGGTGGGCATTTTAACAAAAAAATACTAATATTTATAATTGTGGGGTGGGTCTTTTTGGCAGCTCATGTTTTGAATCTTGATACTGTCATGTTTTGAACCTTTTAATTATAGATCTGTCATATATTGTAATATATTATCAATTTAGTATGATGATTTTTATATTTAATATGTACATTATAGATTTAATTTCTTTTTTGATGATATGGTCTTTATGTTTAATATGTATATTATATATATATATTTTGGTTGGTTTATATAATTTGGAGAAAAATTTAATAAAACTAATAAGGACACAAAAAGACAGAAAACCCCCAAACGAGGAATTCGGAGAACGGGCTTTTTTCAGGAATTCCCCGAAAAGAGCTTTGGGCTGGGATAGGGGAATCCCCTTGGGCTTTCAGGCCGGGGCTGGAGACAGGGGTCCCCGACCCCGCCCCGGCCTGTGCCCATCCCTAGAGAGGATGGGGGTTTTGTAGGGGAGGTGTCAATGAGTCAGGAGGTGGTGGTGAGAGGGGTTATCGCCCACGGGATCTAACAAAGAACATTCACGTGACGTGGCTGCTGTGGCCCGTAATTGGCGACTGTTGTGGTCGGGAAAGATGGGGGTTTTGTTAGTGGGAGCAAGGACTGGAATCAGGCCAATTTAGCCTTTGGCCTGAGAACAACATGCACGTGGTGAGGAAGAGAGTTGTAGGAAACGACGAAATCCAGTTGAAATGTAAACCGACGAAATCTAGTTGAAATGTTGGTTAATTGACCATCCTGCCCTTATTTATAACAACAAAATTTATTAGCGGATTTGTATTATGGGTAGTTAAGTTGTATTTTGAAACTATTTGGTGCGAAGTGTCATTAGGCCAAATCTTGGGTGTGAAATAGTCGTTTACTCTTAAATGAATCATTGTTTCACTACTTTTGATCATAAAAAAAGCCAAACTTTTCGTCAATGTGAAGCATTAATCTGGCAGCTGAAAGTGTGACTTTTGAAATATGAGCTTTGATTAACTCAATAAATAATCCATTAAATTAGAAGGTTGATGGTTTGGAAAATGATAAGAATGAATATTTGATGTTGTTGGGTTTGAAACAGTCCAACAAACCTTGGTTTTGTCAACCATATTTTGTATTTCATATTTTTTGTTTTGGATAGACGGAGATTCTCTTTTACTCTTCTGATATATCATATACTTATATAAATATGAGGATCCATATATTTCTTAAAAAAAAAAAAGGAATCCCAAAAGGAGTTTAATTAGGAAAATTGATAGCCGTCCGATTATGATAGAACTGCCGTACAGTACTTTAGTTCAAACTAAAGTAATTTCGGATCAATTAAGGAACGGAACAGAATAGTATTCTACAAGAAATTTGACGATTGTCTCTGTAACAAGAATATATAATAAAGCTAAGCCAGAGGGGAGAAGGCAGATTTTCGCAGGAAATTCAAAATAATTATTCAAAAAAAAAAAAAAAAAACCTTTAAAGAAGACGACCCGAGTGACGGTTGTTTCTTGTTGGTCAGATTTATTTATTTATTCATTTATCTCTCCTTTTGGCTCGTGACTCTCATCCTCTTTCTGGGTTTTATTTTTTTCATTTCCTTTATTGATTTCTCAAAAGTTTTATAATTAACCCACATATAGAAATAATTTATTAGTATTTATAACGTTGAAGATCTTCTGTTTATAACAATGCGCGTTTGTTGCGGAAATGAAACTGGGTTTTTGTTAGTTTCTGGTGAAAGCGGAGCTTTGATAGAGTTTGAATGAAGCGGCGATGAAGAGAATAGAAGTGAAATGGAAGTTAGATCGGAGAATATTCAAGTTAGATGCGACAAATTACCGGCGCCGGTGGTTCCCAGAACACGATTACAAGTTTGGTTTATAAGGGTATGTTCCAGCATATTTTTATGGACATGTTTGGTACAGTTAGTGGCCATCGGAGAGCTTTGGCACCCTAAAATTTTCCCCAATTTAAGCAACAGAATACATTGGTTTAAAAATGTTCCCCGCCATGTGGACATCGTTATTCAATCGCCACCGCCTCTTGTTGCTCCAAGTTAGTTTCTTGATGCAACCCCTTTTCAGGATTTCTGATTTTGGGTTCTTTTAGTTTTAAAGTTGAGAATTTTTTTTTGGTGATTTAGTGCTTCTAAGTTGCTTTGCTATGTCTCTGCTTGGCCATTTTTTTTTATTTTTTTTTTGTTACTGCCAGTTGCATTGTGTTGTTGTTTTGCCAAAGGATGTGGTATATATGGTTGTGAATCTGATGATGAATTGGTTTTAATTGCTTGATACCACATGCATATGACAACTCGTGATGTTGATGCTAGAATTAATTTGTAGAATGGGATGTAGAGGTTTATAAAAAGGTGGGTGGGTATAGTTTTTCAGAATGAAGTACATAATTTTTTGTTTTACGTGTTTTATAGTCTAGAATTTTCACTTTGCAAATGTTATTGGAACGTATTGAGGCTGATAGATTATATGATTTTCGTTTATTTGTGTGGGACTTTAAGCAATGGTGGTTTTAGCTGTTGTTGGATCCTGAAAGAGCTCCCTCATGTATATCTGATCAGTCTTGGTTTGTTTGGAAGTTCATAGATGAATATATCCATGAAGATAGAATTAATGTGTGATTTTAGTAGTTGTTACTAAGTTCTTCTCTACCTTATCGTTAAGGATCATTTTAGTGGTACTTTTCTATGACACTAGGTGTTTCCATGTCAAAATTCAAATCACTTCACTAGTTTTGTTTCTGTCAGTGCATTTGAATTGGTGCACTTGTTAGCATTTGCGCCTAGGATGATTTTGTCAAGCACCATAACCCACTTAAAAATTCTATGCTCACTTTGCATGTGGAAAGACCTTTTTTATGTTATTGATATCGTAGTATATTGTACCTTATACAGTCTATGCTTTTTTACTGAAAGAATTTCTACACAATTTCATTTACATTTGGGGAATATTAGTTTATGACACCTTATTTATTTATTTTGCAGGAAACTATACAAGTAATGGTTTTCTCATCGTATCCTGCAATGGGGGCTTGAATCAAATGCGTGCTGCAGTTTGTACTTCTTATTTTACTACTTATTTGCCTGAACTCTTATCCTAAATCAAGTTACTTACTCAGCTAATTTGATATTCTAGATATGTGACATGGTGACTGTTGCACGGCTTTTGAATCTCACTTTGGTGGTTCCACAGCTTGATAAGACATCTTTCTGGGCTGACCCTAGGTATGGTCTTTGTTTCTAATAGTTGCACCATATTTTTAGTTGATGGCTGCTTTAAAGTTTAAACTTTAAGGTTTCTTCTGCAGTAACTTTGAGGACATCTTCGATGTAAGACATTTCATTGATTCCCTTAGAGATGAAGTTCGAATCATTAAACGGCTGCCAAAGAAGTTCAGTAGGAAGTATGGATATAAACCTTTTCAGATGCCTCCTGTTAGCTGGTCAACTGAAAAGTATTACTTGCAACAGGTCAGTAAAGAACTACCCCATTTTATATCAATTGAGCAAAGCAAGTATGTAATTCCCTTGTAAAGGAGCAAGGTGATTTGTTCTCTTGCTGAGTTACATACTCTGATGAATATTGTTGATTCAATTTTGCAGATTTTGCCACTTTTAAGTAAACATAAGGTGTTGCACTTCAACAGGACAGATACACGTTTGGCAAACAATGGTATCCCACTTAATCTTCAAAAACTCAGGTGCCGTGTTAATTTCCAGGGCCTGAAATTCACTCCTCAGATTGAGGCTTTGGGATACAAATTGGTTCGTATTCTACAAGAAAGGGGACCTTTTGTGGCTTTACATCTGAGATATGAGATGGACATGTTAGCTTTCTCGGGTTGTACTCATGGCTGCACCATGGAAGAAGCCGAGGAGCTAAAACGTTTGAGGTTTGTTGTGTTTGAAAGCTGATGCTTTTTCTTTGAGATTGATAATGTGGAATTTGACTCCTATTTATATGTTTAAAAAAAAAAAGATGATATGAAATTTGCTTGTAATCATCATTACGCTTAATCTGCTTATAGAGTTCTGTATACGCTCAATTTACTTTTATGAAGATAGATAGAAGTCGGTCATGTCACAAGTCATGAACAACTCAGCTAACTTTATTACCACACAACTTGGAAAAGTTCAATATTGAATGGGTTATGTTATCAATAACCAAATTCTGGAAAATTTTACTTTGGTGATAGTTGTGTCAGACGTCTTGATACTTGGAATTTTTCAGAGTAAAGAATTAAATTCAACTCAGGACTATGTATTTTTTCACTCTGTTCTATTTGTGTGAACATAGTGTAAGATTAGTTTGTTCTTTACTGTATTCGGAGAGATGATATTGGTATAATTTGCTTATCATTCCCCCTCTGTTTCAGGTATGCATACCCATGGTGGAGAGAGAAAGAGATAGTGTCAGAAGAGAGAAGATCACAGGGTCTGTGTCCTCTGACACCTGAGGAGGCAGCATTAGTTTTGCAAGCGTTGGGGATTGAGAAGGACACACAGATTTATATAGCAGCTGGTGAGATTTATGGTGGTGAAAAGAGGTTGGGAGCACTAAGAGCTGCATTTCCACGGATTGTGAGTTTGTTATGTTTGTATAGCTTCTACTTCTGTGAACTTGCAGCTACTATTGTTAATCTGTTGAATTCTTATGAAGCCCTTGGCTTCTGCTAGTCTTTGGCACTTCCATTCTGAGAAATGTTTATTTAAACATGTTGGAGTTTCCAACTCAATTGTTGCTTATGCCTTAATTTTGTGATATGCGTTTAGTTGATTTAAATTGTCTTTTTGATTGTTGGGAAGCGATGTGTAACATTTATGTCATAATGATGAACTGTTCACACGTTTTTAAAGTGTTATTTACCTTCTTGTTTGAATCAAATAAGCTTGTGAGGCTGTCCAAAATCCAAATGGTTGGAGACTCTGAATTTGAATATCCTTACTAATTATAAGTTATCTCCCTTTTTCGCTTCTACTAATGAGGAATTTTTTTTGGTTGTATCTTTTGCTTGAACTTTAGCATATAATATGTTGTATCTCAAGATTTGATTTTGGCTTTAGGTTAAAAAGGAAATGTTGTTAGATCCAGCAGAACTACAATCTTTCCAGAATCATTCATCTCAAATGGCTGCCCTGGATTTTATGGTTTCCACAGCCAGCAACACATTCATTCCCACGTATGATGGGAACATGGCAAAAGTTGTGGAAGGTCACCGCAGGTATGTATTCCTACCTTACAGGAATTTGAAGAAAACAAAACTTGATTAATTAAAAAGAATCTGTGAAGACACTCCTGTTTTTGATCTCATGCAGGTATCTTGGGTTCAAGAAGTCTGTCCTGCTAGATAGGAGAAAACTTGTAGAGTTGGTGGGTATGCATCAGAATGGGACACTTTCTTGGAATGAGTTTTCAGTTGCTCTGCGGCTAGCTCATGAGAAAAGGCTTGGACAGCCTACTTGGCGTAAAGAAATTGCAGACAAACCCAAAGAGGAAGATTATTTCTATGCAAATCCTCAAGAATGCCTTTGTGAGGAAAGGAATTGTGATGATTTACTAGGTCATGGTAACTCGACCGAAGTACAGTAACAGCGCAACAGATTTAACTCGTCTTGAGATGTTATCCCTCTGAACCAGTCAGGAAAACCATTCCAAGACTGGATGGGGGGGTCAAGCCATGTTGCTTTCGAGGTAGGCCTTAAGGCTTAAACAACCATCTATACACACACTTGGAGTTTTGTGAGAAACAGCACAAAAGATTCCTGGAGTTCCCGTCTTGACATTTCCACGTTTGGTCTATATATATTTTTTTTTTCTTTTTTTAATTTCTTTTGTTCTTGTATTTATCGTGTCCATTTTTTCTCCTTCTGCCCCAAGGTTTCTTGTCCATTGTGTTCGATGCTGTCACATAATTCCATAGTTGATAATACAGATATTGTTGCGTTTCACTGTTCTTCAGAAGTGAGAGATGATATGAAGATGCAGAGTTTGAGGACCGATTCCAATCATATCAGGTCTGGCCCGTCTGGAGTCCAAGAAAATATCATCATCATCAAATAAAAAAAATAAAAAAACACTAAGCAGCGCTGATCAGGTTATGAAAGCTCAGTCTGGATTTGAATCAAGTATTGGTGTAATGCAAAGCAGCCTATAAAAACAAATGCATTACTTTAAATTCCATTGAAGCTTTCATTCTTTGTACATGGCCGATGTCAATTCCTGCTTCCAGAAATTTTAAACAAATATTCATTCATAAAATGTGAGGAAACGACGAAAGAAATTATAATTTAAATTATGCTTTTTACTGCATGTTAAACTAAACATACAAAAGCTATAAATGAAATTGCCAATATCATCATCAGCGGAGGAATTCCCAGGCATAAAATTATCTAACCCCTGATTATAATAGAGAAGTCCAGCAAGCTGTTTATGAACTTGTCACTTCAATTAGAAACGACTAGCTTAAGATTCCTTATCGAAACCTCCACTGACGTGATCAAATGATCCTCTTTTGTTGTGATGTCAGCTTCAGTTCTCAGTCAGCTCGAAATGGCTATGGCTCTTCAGAAAAAAATAAAATAATTTTTGGTAGCTTTAATGAAGTTCAGATTTCAGCATAAACCACTGAGCCATTTGAAACCAGTTGCAAATCTTACTTGGGCTCCCAGAAGATGATATCACCTTGTTCTCCGACCAGTCCAAGGTCCTTGAGTCTTCTTTCCTGGTAATATTCCAACTCATCCAATTCCAGTTCCCTCTCCTTGAAGATCCCATCAATTTGCTGCAGCACCCGCTTCTCTCCCACTCTTATTCCAACTGCAATTCTCAACCTTGGATCAAGATTTCCTCCTTCCACCAACTTCCCATCCTGCAACACATGTTATTTAGTGATACGAACTAAGAGCAACCAGCTATTTAGAGATAACTATCTCTTTCTACAAGCACATGTGAGAATAAATTGAACTTTGGTTGAGGCAGTAAGGCAAGTGATGGTGGCATATTGTTGGTTGAGGCAGTGAGGTAAGTGATGGTGGCATATTGTTTTACTAACAGTGTTCACTTTTAAAGCAGAATGGGGACAGCAGATCCAAGTAATTAAAACTTTAGTTGCTACAATCAGCCATGAGATTTTCCTATTTTTTAACATGATAAACACATCATAATTTTGAAAAATGAAAAAGAAAACAAAATTCAGATTGCATCCCCTTACCCTTATACTACCACGTGGCAGACAGAAAAAAAAACTACAAAAGAGTTAACATGTACTATATTGTTAGCAATAAACAAGAAGGATGAACTTTCACCTCTTCAATGGTGGTACGATAGCCGGATAGAGCTGATTTACAGGCATCTCTGACCACTCGACATATGAGCTCCTCATTATCACGACTTACAGGCAAATCAAGGTGACCCCAGACCGTGTTTCTGAAAATTGATTCCAAGATGAAAGCATCAGTTCCTCCAAGTGCCACAAGCCGCAAATATTGAACCATTGTTGGTGGAAGAGGTTGGCCCAAGACTATGTCGAAATATGCTGTCTCACCCAAGCCATTTGACTCAGCAATGTCAAGTTTGTCCCCGAAAAAAGGATCTGACTCAGATATCTCTAAAGTTAAAGTATATGCATTGCGATCTGAGTTTGATTCTATGAACCCATAGTCCAGAGCCAACTCAGCATTGCTCTTATTCAAATCATATTGGATCAGAACCTGACATATAATTGTTTAAGTCAGCACTCACACATGAAAAAAATATGATGAAAGCATAGTTTGTCTTTATGCACTAAAATGCCCTCTCTGAGTGTCCTCTTTAGGTCTAGCTGGTGGATTTCTAGAGGCAATGAAGCAGCCATTGCAAGCCCACTCCATATTATTCAAAAGAGGGTTTCTTTTGTATGTACTTCCTCAAGAAATATCTTGTGTCCATGTGAGGTTGGTGAAAATCATAAACTTGGATCAATAGGATGCCGATGATTCAGCAGATTTTCTCAAAATTAGAAATAGTTTTGAGTTCCATTTTTGGATCACAGTTACTAGCAATAGAACAAGAAATGTTAGAAGTTGAAAAGTTTCACCTGCTCACCAGCCTTGACAGAAACAGGGGCCCGCAAAGAAAATAGGAGATCTCTAGAGAAAAGACCCGCTCCTTTAATCTCATATGCAAAATCTTCTGTGGTTATGCTGGCGCTGTGGTTGATCTGATGAATGATCCAGATTTGCAAGAAGTTAATTTTTGAAGCAAAGCAAACAAAAGAACAAGCACTTGATTTTCTGATCAGATTGTGAACATACTGTGTATAAATGCCAATCATTGAAATAATTTTGTTTCATTATGTGCTAGTGGGACCTCTGCAAGCAAAACTAGAACATGAAGATCTAAACAAACCCAAACTTTTCTTTTCCTTATGTTCATTTTACCAGCAAATCAGAGAGCCACACACTACAACAGAATCAAAGATGCTAAAGTCTGTAGACAATCATCAGTGGATTTCTAAGGTAATCTCATTCGAGCACCTTGAGCCACAGTCTGGTACCCTCCCAGCCTGTTTTGACACAATCAGTGCAAGTCCAGAAGATTTCTTATTATATCAGGAAATTCCAGGAAAGACAGCTGAAAATTTTGAATACCTGACATACTATAGACTCTCCATGTTTCAATTTAATGCTAGTGAAAACAACTTGAGGTAAGAACTGAAGGTATTACCAAGTCTGCGAGAGGGACCAAAACAAGATTTTGGCCACGAAGACGTGAAAATGCCCTTGATCTTAGAATCCCAAAAGCCCACAAGAAGTCATCCGATGTGATAGGGTAAGGAAATAATTGCTTGTGAGGAAGTAGTATTTCTTCCTCTACTTTTCGAAACTCATTCTGAACATATTCTTTCACACCTAATGTTGTGCTCAATAGTTGGGTTCCTGCATCATTATAATCAATCTTAAGGATAAATGACAAGAGATCAGACCAATTAATATCTCAAGGAAAAACGATGTTGTTTTCAATCTCCTTCACTCTTATTAAGATTTACTGAAGGTAATGCGAGCAAAGCTGTCAAAATGCACCACCTAAGTGATTCTTAAATGAAGAAGCGCTTAGTTTCATAAAGTTCTCATAAAATGCATTTTCGAAATACCATACAATTTTATTTTCAAAATCAGAGAGTAAAAAAGTGTCCAGTAGAGTATTGTAAAACAATTTTATAAGAACCAAACAAAGATGACGCTCAACAACACTAATCCAATGCCAACCCAACACGATAGCATTAGCTTATCCTCAACATATTGAAAAGAACAAACGTAAAAAGCCTTACTAACCTTGAAGCTCAACAAGCTCCTCTTCAGACCTGCACTGAAACATCGAAAAAACATTTTATCAACCTCAAAAACTCAAAATTACCAAAAAACACTCAAAACCCGCCAAAAAAAAAAGGGCCAACAATTAAAAACGCAAACCAAGCTACACCCACCAAAACACAGTTGAGTCCGTACTTTCAGGAAGAATATCAAGATAAACACGCCACGGAGAATCCTCTTTCTTTTTCTCTCTGATCAGAAACAGGGCTACAGAAATCCAAGGCTTCAATCCGCTACATAAGTTTCCTATATCGGAAGCGGCAACCGTATCTGGGTTGATCCAGAACTTCTTAGGAATCTCCAAAACGACCTCGTTTCTACCAATGTCTCTCTGAGCAACCAGCCCCAGTCCTTCGGGAACGGTAGCCGGCCTTATGGGAGACTTGGCAGAGACCACACCCTGGTCGCACAGCCACTGCCAGAAGGTCTGGACCTCTTGCGGTGGTGAAGAGTTGAGAGAAATTACACATAAAGGTCTGGTTTTGAGGTGAAAAGTTGACTTTTTTGAGAGGGTTTTAAGGGTTTTAGAAGAGGATAGAAATGGGGAAGGAGATGAAGAGGGGAGAGAGTGAAGAGTGAGGCCATTGTTGGAGTGGTTCGCTTGTTGGTTGTGTCTTGTTGTGTATGGATAGGTATGGATAATTTCGAGTCCTTTGTTTATTTCAAACCCTATTCCCATTCTTATTCCAAAAAATTATTTATTTAATATTTAAAAAATTATTATATTTTTTTAATTATTAATTAAACACTTACAGAAAAAAAAATTTAAAATTAACAAAAATACTCCACTTTCCATAGTTGTCAGATTCTGCAACCACCATCGGTGATAGTCAAAATCTTCACAAAGCCTACAAACAACGGAATAGCTGGTAATTCACCAATGTGACTTTTCTGTGGATCTGCCTTTTCGGTCGTTGTGCCAGATCTGGTTGATCTGGCCAAAAATTCAAATCACCACCCCAACATCCAACCGTGATCGACTCGATTCGACGATGGTAGCGAATTTGGCACTGTGGGTGGTGGGGTTTTTTTCATTTTACAAAAATTTATATATTTAGTGTTTAGTTAAATTAGCAATATATTTTGTTAATTTTAAATTTTACCTCGTAATAATTACCTATTAATTATTCAATATTATTTCTAAAATCTTATCCAAAATAACAAACCAAACGACCCGAATGTGATTTATAGCTGTGGTTTGGATAAGTTTTGGTAATATAAGAATAACAATAATGAATAAAGTAAGTAAGAATAAGTGGTATTGTATTGTATTTTGGTTGATAGGATGGGAAAGCCATTTCCTAAAAATCATGAAATTAGGATGTATGAGACACCGTTCCTCAACAACACGATACACATACAAAATTGGTATCTCAATTTGTATTACCAATACACACATTTCTAATTATAAGATATAATAGGTGATTAATTTGTCAATCAACAATTACCTAGGTATAATAAATCTAGGATCCAACTTTATGTATAACATTACTCTCGTCAAATTACAAATGGGAAATGATTTTTAGCCCAGCATTTTTTCTTTAACCCTTATCTTGAATAAAAAAAAAAATTTATTCTTCTCCATCATACTTAATTCAAAGCTTTATATTTGCAATTACTGAAAAATAAATGAATTAGGTCAATAAGAATATAATTTCACTAGTAAATTGAAGCTTATGGTAATTATCAAAGATACTAATAATTATTCTATATTGTATAAATTAATTATTCAGATCTTATCCTTCTAACCTAAAACAAACACAACTCCATTTGATTCTTTTGGAGGGTTCTTTTAGTTTCTTCTTTTCTTTTTTTTTTTTCTAAGCTTTATATTTGTGAAAGTTATTGAAAATACATTGTTTGATAAAAAAATTGATCATATAATCAAAATTACTAGAATTTGAATATTTTGAGTGTTTTAGAACAAAAACTTAGAGATGGAAGATATTAAAATTATCAAATCTAGGCAAAATAATAATATTTTTTTTGTAATTCTTCCTAAAATTTTTTAATATATAAGAGACATTGTTAATACCTCGACTAATCTTTTAGACCCTAAAAAACGGTAAACCTTAGTAACCACCCTTATTACAATAGAGGGAATCGAATTCAAGACATTTGAGTAATATACCGAGTCCTTATCGTCCCACCAACCACTAGGGGTGGTTAATATATATTTTTTAAATACTTTTTTTTTTATGGGTGACGAGTGTCCCAATCAGCTCTTTTGATAAAGAAAAATGATAGAGTTACCGAAAATTTACACCGAATTTGTGCATCGAATGACGTGACAAAATCCTGACCGTTATTAATATTAAGTATAATAATAAAACGGTCAGGATTTTATCACGTATTCGGTGCAACCCGTCAGTAACTGTAGTATTACTCTTTGATAAATCAAATTGTTCTCATCTTTTTTCATTTTGGGCAAGGACATTGGCTCTTTTGGATTGGGCCTAAGAACTTAGGTATCATTGGATGGGCGATTGTTCTTGTGGAGAGCTCAAGGCTTTAAACTTGTTCTTGGATCTTTGGGCCCTTAAAAGGCCTAAGAATATACGTTCTTCTCTCACCGCAGGGCCGCAATCCTCGTCCTCGTGTAAATGTGTGTGAATGCAGGGCAACGTTAACATACATCATCAAGTATGTATCAACAATTCGTCATTCCGTTAACAATTCTAGAACAGAACTTTTTCAAAACCAGGGGAGATTCTTTCAACCTTTTGTATTTTTAACAGAAAAAGTGTTAGTAGTTGTTGTAGACTTTAATCTAATAGGGCAAAAAGCCGCGTTGAGTTGAGCCTACAAAGAACAGAACAAATTTTGTATTATTTATTTAATACATTATTCAAATTTGGGACCGGAGGGAAAGGGCAGGGGCCTTAAGTCTCATGAGAAAAATCAACAATTGGGCAACCTTTATGTATTATATATATAATCCGATTGAAAAACAGTGGCTTTTGGGAGTGTACTTTCACTATTTTTTCAAAGAAGGAAATATGCGGTCAAATTAAAAGAATACGGACATAGTGGACTGGGTGAATTGTATATATATATATAAGGTCAATTTAACCAAGGCAATTAATTTTTATATAATATGAGTAAATATGCTAATGTCAAAGTATGAATACTGCAATTTCAATAATTAAATTAAAGCATGGATTGAATTTAGCTTCCGTGTATTGAAAAATTACTGTAGAGCTATTTAAAGGGTCAAATGCTATTTGATTGAATATAATATTTGATGAGTGATATTGAAAACTTGTTAATGTTGAATGCTGAAAAACGTACAATTCATTAGATTTATGGTAATGAAGAAACAAGTGAATGGTCAAAATAGATTAAAAAAATAAAAAAGCTCATACAAAATGCCAAATCACGTGTTTGTCAAAAGACGTTAAATTAATATTCTTAAATTTTGGACTCTTGTGGAAATGCTGAGCCCAAGTTTCTCGTTCCAAATCAGTAGGTTTTTTACCATTCCCATCGCAAACAAAAACGTTAAATTCGTTACCCAAACCCGGTCAATGAAGTTAAGTGCTTGGGGAACTGGATTAGATTAGAGCGGACAAAACTTAACCGTAAGGTCCAGTCTTATGGTGACATGGACCATAAAGTGGTCAACTGCAATTGCTTCCGTATCCCACCGAAATTGTGAACCTAATCTTTTACTACCAAACTTTTGTTTAAATTTAATATATGTAAGTACGAGGGTTTTACATGGACACCTCTTAGAGTTAGTAATTATGGTATCCCAATTTGAGTTCTCACTACTCATAATAAGTTATTAAAGCTCTTAATAATGGGTAGTTTCAAGGTCTTCAAAAATTAATCGAGGTATATACAAACTAATACGGACACTTTCTGTCAATAAAAAAAAAAAAAAAAAAGATTCATAAATTTTAGAATAAAACACCTACATATTTGTTGTTTTAGAATAGGTCAATTACATTCTTATAATTGAATGATATTTGTGAAAAATAACTATCATAAAATTAAGTAAACTATATGACACAATAAAAAAACAAGTATCTTTTGTTTTTCTTAATGTTTAATTGAAATGTCAAAATTTAATATCTTAAAATCATTTAATATATTTAATAAGTTGATCATATGACAAATATCAAATATTAGTTTATTTCTGTTGCAGGAGAAAAGATAAAATAAAGATATATTAGTCATTGTACTAACTATGAAGATTTTTTGTGTTCAAATTAACTTTTCAGAAAATATTTGATAATTATAAAAATTTTATTGTTTCATTTTAAAACTTGTGGGTCGTCTTGTTCTCTCACTAAACCTAAGGGATGTCTACCTATTGTTTTTTGGTACACAAGTTTTGACTATGATATTTAAATATTTATGGCAAAAATTTTTAAAATCATATATAATAAGATGGTGGTTTAATATGTTTGAATATTATTATTAACTGTTCTGACGTTAATTAATATATTAAGACATTTTTGTTATATATTCTTGATGTGGCTACAAACCAATTCATCAATTTGCTTACAGCCTTACACAAGTTCGAAAACTCTAATTATCCATTAATTTTATACACGACTTGGGTCATATTTATTACAATCATCTATTTTGCTTCCATTAATAAATAAAATTAACAGTTAATACTGAGATGTAAAATATAAAAAATAAAAAAGTAATTATTTTTAGATAGTTGAATAATTCAATAAAGAGTTTTAGGTGAATTATTTAAAACATCCTGAATTCAAATTTCTTATCAGTTACTAATAGAACAGCTACTTAAAACTTTTACCCATTTTAGTAATTTCAAAGTCTTAAAAACATGATACACATAACCGGACCTGAATAGCCCTTTTACGACGATAATAATAATAAAAAGGGAGTAACCTACGCCAATATTCAAAGGTGGAAGCTTTTACGCGAATTTCAACCAAGTCCACGGAAAATAAAACGAGTCACTCGCTGCATTAAAATATTTCCTTTTTACTTTAACAAGAAGGCGTAAAGGGTCTCTCTTTTGCCTATATATACATTAAAACATCAATAGTTCTCTCATCAATATTGTCGTTTTTCTTCTTGTTTACATCAATAGCGCAACCTAAGAAGATACTTATTGCTGAAATAACTTAATTGCATATCATCAAGGGTTCCCTCAACTACTCTTGTTCATTATTAAGTTCACTAACTTAAGCTTACTGATTGCTTCAGTTCTAGTTCTGGCCAAACCAGGCGAAAATGAAGTTCGGAAAAGAGTTCAGGTCGCAGATGGTGCCGGAGTGGCAAGAGGCGTACATGCATTACGATTATCTCAAAACCCTTCTAAAAGATATCCAACGTTTTAAGCAACGTACGAGGCCAACGGCCACCCCGGATGGGCTAAACCGAAACTTAACTCTGTACAGAGCTTTCAGTGGCCTAACGCATTGGCAAAGACATAATCCTGTGAACCCGTCCTCCGCATCGGATATTGCAAGCCAACCCATTTTGGTTAATTCGGTGAGCAATAATGGGGGTCATAGTTATCAGACCGCGTTTCTTATGTCTGCAGATGAAGGAGGAGAATATGAGTTGGTGTATTTTAGAAGGCTTGATGATGAGTTCAATAAGGTGGACAAGTTTTATAAGTCGAAGGTGCAAGAGGTGCTGAAGGAGGCCGCTATTTTGAATAAGCAAATGGAAGCTGTGATTGCTTTCAGA